GTACAACCCTGATGCACACCTTTTTGATTTTAAACCATGCAGTATTCCCTTGTATGGGCTGGTTATTTGTATTATTTGCTAGGAAAGGAATTCTATAAGAAGGTGAAAATGGAGAGAGAATAGACTTCATATTCTTTAAATTTGTGTTTTCCACCAGATGCTGCATTTATTTCTTCCTTGCTCTTTATTTAAACAGTAATCTGTGTAGCTTAAACAAACATTTTGGCTGTGTTTGCTTTGGATCTCTCTCTCTCTCTTTTTTTTTTTTTAGTACCCTCATCTTTATTTGGGAAGAGGGAATCTTCATATATTTTTGTCATGTGCTGTCTAATCAGAACTGACTCATAGCTGATCCTTCAGTGGAGTTTCAGAGGCTGTAAATAAATTACATGGAAGGAGATTTTTTGTCTTTCTTCAGTGGAACAGCTGATGGAATTGAACTGCTTGCATTTGGGTTGACAGTGCAACTCCTTAACTACTAGGCCACCAGAACTTCTCTTCACAGATTAGGTGTAGGAAATTATACCTGTGAAAACAGTACAGGAGCGTTTTAGAAAATAGGTTATAAGAGGTGACTGAAGAGAGGATAACACATAATAGGTCCTAATACACTCTGAAAGCTTTTATCAGTGGTTCACAGCCCTGTTTTCTTGTAAGTTTAAACTGGAGAGCTGTCTAAAAATATGATGTCTGGGTCTTACACCAAGAGATTCTGTTTCAGTTTGTCTGAAGCAGAGACTAGGTATGTGAGAGTGTGTCTGTCTGTTTGTGTTTTTCCTTCTAGATAATTCTGTGTCCTGTTAGCAAAGGGAATTATTAGGTTATATGTATTCTTTGGTGACTTAATGGCTAAAGAGTTGTGCTACCAAGTTGTGGCAGGAAGTTCTGATTCCCTGGCTCCTCCAAAGGAGAAAAATAGGCAGTCACCTCATATAGTTTATAGCATCTGAAAACCTAACATAGGATCAGCTATTGAGTCAGTTCCAATAGGACAATAATGAGTTGCAGAGTTTTTTCCTTTTATATTGGTATGCATACAAAATTCATATACATTGTGTTTTATTCATGTACATTGTGTTTCAAACAATTATTTCCATACGTTGTGTTTTATACAGTTAATCACCTTTGGATCAGAGACCTAGCGGTAAAGCCCCAAACCCTAAAGATCATAAGAGACAAAGTGAGATCAGGCTTAGAAGCCCTCAGCTATGGTGTAAAAAGAGTGACAAATACAGCCAGAAATACACAATGAGGAAAGGATAAAATTGACGAATGGGACCTTCTAAAGATAAAATCCCTGTGCACATCAAAAAATTTTTCCAAAATGGAAAACTTACTGACTGGAAAAATAATGTTTGGCAATATAATCTCAGAAAAGAGTCTTATGTCAAAAGTTTACAGAATCCTACAGGGCCTCCACAAGGAAGACTGACAATACAGTTACAAAATGGGTAAAAGACATGGAAGAATTTTCATAGAGGAAAGCATTTGGATGGTGACAGATACATGAAGAAATGCTCAAAATCACAAGTGATAAGAGAGATGCAAATCAAAACCACAGTGAGATACCATCTCACCCCAGTAGCAGTGGCAAAGATTAACAGGACAGCAAGCAGTAAATGTTGGAGTGGATATGGAGAGACAAGAACTCTCATACACTGCTGGTGGGATTGTAAAATGGTACAACAACTCTGGAGGGCAGATTGGTGTTTCCTCAAAAAGCTGAACATAAAAATTCCAAATAACCATGCACACCCATGTTTATTGCAGCTTTGTTCACAATAGCAAGGAGTTGGAAACAACCTAAGTGCCCATCAACAAACGAATGGCTAGAGAAGCTGTGGTATATTCGCACAATGGAATACTATGCTGCATTAAAAAACAAGGAACTCATGCAATATTATTCAAAATGGTTGACTCTGGAGAACATTATGCTGAGTGAAATATCCCAGTCACAAAAGGACAAATATTACATGATGCCACTGTTGTAGAATAGGACTGTCCTTGGGGTTGGGGAGAGACTGAGTAAGATGGGTTCAATAATGTATACTGCACTGAAACAGAGGAGGGAGAAAACTGTTTAAAAGAGATATATAACTAGGTATTTCTGTCATCACAGGAGACTAGAGCGAGGGCTACATGGTGGAGGGGACCTGGGGGAGGGTTTGTAAAACAATGAAAGAATCTTTTCTTTTACTTTTCCATAATTTCTGGACTCATGTACTTATAACTTGTTAGTCAAATTTGTGTCTTCTAGGTTGCAACACCCCCATGATACATCTTCAAGGATATGAACATGTACGGCCAAGCACAATCAATAAGAGTGCATCTAAATCCCAAAATCAATCTCCATAATAGTCTATGTGTTTCCTACTGCCAAAGGGGCCCTTTAGAGTAGTGAGAGAAGATCTTCACCCTGAAACCCACAGCGTCCCTTTTCAGTAGGAAGTAGCTAAGAGAATACGCCATCCCCTTTTCCTTATGACTCAGGGTGAAGTCTCTCTCAGGGAGGAGTGATAGGGAATGGCAGAGGACACACTGACAAAGAAGATTAATCAGAACTGGCTTTGACAAGCACTGTGGCATTTGGACAAGAACAAACTGGGAGGAGTGTAGAGAGAATAGTGCAACAATGAATGAATGGAAACCCAAAATCTCTGTAAATGTTTATGAAAATTAATAAAATATAGAAAAAAACCTTCCAAATAACCTAGTTATCCCGCTGCAAGAAATATACCCTGAGGAAATTAGAGCTAACACAAATGGAGATTTGTACACCAGTGTTCACAGCAGTGTTCTTCACAACTGCAAGAACATGGAAACAGCTCCACTGTCCATCCACAGCCAGATGGATTGAGAAATTGTGGTACATTCACATGATGGAATACTATGTAGCACTCAGGAGCAATGATTTCGAAAAATACTATATAACCTGGGGGAGACTGGAGAGCATTATGCTGAGTGCACTAACTCAGTCGCATAAGGACAAAAACTGCACAAGACCATTATTGTCAAAATAGAAGGATAACTGGTAAAACATGTATGGGAACCAGGGGGAAAAGGATAGGAGTGGAGGGGTGGGGATGGCCTGGGGAGGATATCATAGGGTCTTATAGTTTGGTGGGTAGAGTGAGAAGGGGTAAAGGAAATGGGAAATACCCAGTGGAGACCTGAAAAGATGGGATAATGGTGGGCATAATTAATTGGGGATTAAGTTTATAAAACACATATGGGAATGATTGTATGGAACTTAGTATTAAAGAAAGAAATTGTGAAGCATGTGTATATTAATTTTATATGCAACCTGATAGGAAAATAAACATTTTTTAAAAAGTTAATCACCATTATCTATGCCCGATGTCAACCCAACTTTTCAGGTCTTCACAAAAGTCTACCCTAATTCTTTCAGGTTCTCACTCTGCCCACCAAACTCTGCAGCCTCATTATTTCCCTCCCTCCCCACATTTAATCCCTCCCCTTCCCTCTTTGGACTTCTATCCATATGTTAGTACTTAACCTTCTATTTTTTTTTTAAATTTATTTTATTATTTTGTGTGTGTACCGTCAAATTGGATCTGACTGGTACAGGAGGAGATGGCCCCTCCTTCTCCAGCAGAGCATCTGGTGGATTTGAACCGTATACCTCTGTGATTGCAGCTTCTTGCCACTAGGCCACCAGAGCTCCCTTTAGCCTTCTATTTTTATAATAATGGTCTTATGCAGTATTTGTCCTTAGGAGATTGTAGTTAGTTCACTCATCATAATACTCTCTAGCCTCTCCTATCTTATATAGTGTTTTCAAAATCATTGCTCCTGTTTGCTGCATAAAGGGAATTCTGGTGGCCTATTCTGTGGGCAGTTGTAGTACAAGGTCATGTCTCTTTGGCAGTTGGAATTGACCAGCCTTTCAGGGTGAAAAATGGGCAGTCTCCTCCCATTTTATTTCTAGCCTCAGAAACCCAGAGGAGAGGCAATTTCAACTCAATAGCAATGTGTTTTGAGAGAGTTTTTAAATGATAGAGAGCAAAACTAGTAGTATTGGGTACAATATAGAAGGCTTCAACTCAGTATAATTCAAAGGCACACAGTTCAAATTGACCAGCTGCTAGGCGGGAGAAAAATGAGTAATTTCCTTTCATGTGATTTACAGCCTCTGAAAGGCTGTTGGAGTGTCAGCTGTTAGTTACTTCTGACTTGAAGGCATATAACAACAGAAACATTTAAGTATACATGAGTTACCATTTAATTACAAATTTAAAGATAATTCAAAGAACTTATAAATTCCTTAATTTTACTTTCTAAAAAGAAAGTATTGCTGTGCGTCTGAGCTTTTCTGTGGATAATGCTTTGTCTAGTTTTGGGTATGTTGTATTTGAGGCATCTGTGAAGATGTTACTTGACAATATATTAAACTAAGAGAAACTTGGCTAATGAAAAGGTGATAGTGGTGATCACCATTACTATACTATTTATTGTTCACCTGACCTTTTTTTTTTTTTGTAAACTCACTGTATTAGGAGTGACAAAAAAAATAGACATTACACCTGCTGTTATAGAGTTTACAGACACAAAATCTTAAAATCAAGCAATCTTTAAAAATTTGCAGGTACTTTATAAGTGGTTTTCGTTGTTACCTTGGTTGTCACATTGAAGCCCTAGATTGCATGTGGATTGTGAATTGCCAAGAAAAAAAAAAACAAACTATAATAAATCTAACAGAATAATAAAAAGGGAAATTCTGGTGACAACTCCTCAACCTAAAATAATCTTAAGAAGAGATTTCCAGAATCTTTTTGTTTATTTATCTGTTTTGCCTTTTTCTCTTTTGCTCTTCTCTTCAGCTCTTAAATTATTCTGCTTATGTAGTATCATTACTATAATTTTTCTGAATAGAGCTATTTCTGAGTAAATAATTATTTCTTAGAAAATGACTTTTAAATTTGATTATATACTCTCAGGAGTTTATTGTGAAGATATTAATGTAAGTTTAATGACCACAGGTATCGGGAGGCACTTCAGAAGTGGGATGAAGCGCTTCAATTAACCCCAAATGATGCTACCTTGTATGAGATGAAATCACAGGTAAGGACTATGAAGAATTTTATTTTTATTTAATTTTTTTTTTTTTGGCGTGTGAAATTGTCTTTTTGATTGGTGAACAATGATGAACCTAAATAACATCTCCCTCATTTTATTTTTAAAATACAATTTATTTTGGGGGAAATATTTTACCATATTATTTATGAGAGTTTTATGCATAAAATTAGAAATTATTTGCCTTCACAAATAAGTTAACTATTTCAACCAACTAAAATAAGATGTGAATTTATGATATCTTTTTAAAAATCACTAATATGCTATTAAACTAAAAGTATCCATTTTCCTCAGAAATAAGTTGTGGTGTACTTTACATTAACTGGACTGAATTGAGTTCATGATGATGAGATTTCTCTAAAAATGGCCATTTAGCAAAAGCTCAGAACAGATTGAATTTATTAATTGTTGTTGTTGATTGCCGTTGAGTAGAGCATGTCTCTTAAGGGCCTGAAGCCTTTCTATAACTATAATCGTTTCTCCAAGTTCATAGAGTTTTCAGAGGCATGTGGTTTAGGAAGTGGATGCCACTCCTGCTTCCAAACCTTAATCAATCTGGGAGCTCCACCAAACACTGCCCACCAATGGGTAGCCATTATGGTGTTTGGCACAGCTATGGCACAGCTGTTCCTTTACGGCATTTGAGACTCCAGTGGCCCAAGGTTCAGGGTCACAGCAAACCCAGATTACCTCAGCACAGCATATTGACCAGAGTGCTGTATGACTTAGAAGAATGTTCCACCAAAATATAGTAACAAGGGATTAAAAGATAATTCCTCAGGCCCAGCTTTTAAATATAAGAGCCATCCAGGAGATTTTGTTCATGCTAAACAAGAAACTTAGACAAAAAACAACCACACAATCCACACAGATCCTCATCCAAAATAAGAGCACCATTTTACAGAGTTCAGCCATTTCACCCAACTCCAAAATGGATACAGGGCCTGACTTTCTATGTTCCTGCGGTTGTTAAATGTTGTTGAATAGTGACCCTATAAACAAAAGACCCTAACCCTCTTCTATAACTGTTGTCTTCTCTTTAAGTCCACAGAGTATCCACTTAGAAAGTTAATACCACTGCTGTTGACAAGCCTGTCTTAATCTGTGAGCTCTACCAAACATTATCAACCATATGTAACCATTATGGCATTTGACACACCACTTGCACAACATTCAGTATCACAGGAATCCCAGGTTACCCCAGTACACAGCAATGACACAAAAATGTTGTCCCACATAGGTAAATGTTCAACTCGTGCACCAGTCTCTCATTGGCTCCAGCAAGAGGCTTCCATCCCACTCTCACCAGTGATCAATCAGAACAGAGCAATCTTTCATCCAGCACAAAATAATAGTTTAAAAATAATATTTGTATTTATGTTTTTAATATTTTATTGGATAGCCCAGGAAGTATTTGAATTTGTATGTATGATTCTCCCTGCCTCATGGGAACACTAAAATTGCATATGATGGAAGCTAACAGGTTGGGTCTAGCTAGTCAAGTGGATCACCAGTCTCTCTGTGGAAGAAAAGAACACCAAGAGTAAATCACGTAAGAATATTGAGTGAGCAAGGGGAGTTAGGATAAAAGAACAGAATAGAAACTTTTTGGAAGACTAAAACGGATGGGTTCCTAGATGGCTACCAGTCAATACTTACTGTTTCCTTCAAATATATGCCACATATCCAGACGACTATACTTGTGATCTCATTTGGGAATCGGAGTTTCCTTGCTATGTTAATGAGACAGTATCTGTGTAGGTTGTGTTTTAAGGCAGTTGCTTTTGAGATCTAAAAAAGCACATTAAGTACAGAAGAAGATACACACTTACACTGTGTGAAGGTGGGAGGTAGACTAGTCTGCAGGCCTACAAATTCCCAGGATGGCCAGATATAAAAACTGAGATAAATATATTCCCCCAGAGCTGGCAAGAAAAGACCTTTACTCTAGAATCAGTGCCCTGTATTCAGACTTCTTGTCTCTTAAACTTTGAGAAAGCAAGTCTCTATTCATTAAAGTTTAAAAGGTGCATATATTAAAGGCAGTATTTGTAGCAAAGTTTGAAATGAATTGTTTAATATGTTGTTATGTGCCATCAAGTTGACTGCAACTCATAGCAATCTTACGAACAAGGAATCTAAACCTTACCCTATCTTGTGCCATGATGGAGTTTGTCTTTCAGTATGACTTTTCTGGCATGGACTGTGTGGAAAGGCAGAGCTGTGTGAATGAGGCATGTTGGTTTATCCACAAGGGGATTTGCTAGTCTCAACAATCTACAAGAGGATTGGCTAGTTTCTCCAATAAATTGAAGAGCTGTAGCTGCAGAGAAAGAACCTTTCCTAACCAAAACAGAGAGGCAGATAAGAGAGACCTCCCCCAATCTGGTGAAATATAGGACATGCTTTGAGAGGGCAGCAGCAGCAGTAGCTGAACTGGAGAACTGACATCAGATGAGATAAGAGCTTGGTGGGTGAGGGGAGCCAGTCTTGGCAGGACTGAGAACTTTGTTGGAAAGTTGGGTGGAGAGCCAGTACTGACAGGACTGAGAACTTTGTTGGGCATTTTTGAGTGGGAAACTAACATTGGCAGGGCTGAGAACTTGGAAACACTTAGAGCCACAGAGCTTGAGGCTGATGTGCGTGCGTGCACAGGTTAGGAGCTATCTTGAATATATTTTTTATTAATCTTAATTATAACCTTCTGACTTT